CTTTCATATAGTGGTAAACTTCCCGGAAGGCTACAATGTCCAATCTGAGTGTACAGCTGCTGACCTAGGAGACTATTATTTTGTGGATCACGGAACGAGGTCAAAAGACATCGCGGACAAAGCGGCAAGCGACGAGATATCGCAAATGCGGCTGCAAAAGTTCGGGATGGCACCAAGCGGGAGTCTGTTAGTAGAAAAGTTGGAGTATGAAGGCATCGTGCCAGAGAATGTCCTACTTTTAGACCCAATCAACAACCAACCAAATGGCGTCTACATTCCCCTTACACGCGGATTGAAGTACAAGAAACCGAATCCGTATGGTCTCTCCTTCTTCCTCGAAGCCTACGTCGACCGCACAGGCGGCAACCAAGGTACCTCCGTAGCAACGTCGAACTCAATCGCCGGCGTCCCTTTTGAAGAGATCATCTTCGTGCAGTGGCGGTTAACGGACGATGCCAACCGTTTGTACCTCTATTCACGACAATATATGCCGCGACGTGACGAAAATCGACTCGTTTATCCGTTATCGCCAGCGATGGTCACTGAGTGGTTTTCGGTGGTGCAGCAGAACAAAAGACTAAGGCTTGCCCTAATTACAACTTATTCCCATCGAGAGACTAGTGACATTTTTGAGGTGCAGCCCTTTTTCATGGGGAAAACACGTGGCCAGCGATGTGAGTCTCTAGATGGTTAAATTCGGGGAAGCTCTAAAAAGAGCAGCTTTTTCTGCTGCATTGCAAGCAAGCGGCGCCCAATACGACCCAGTGGAAGCCCTTGGGCGAGATTTGTTCGAAATCCAACCCATGGTTCGCGGAATCTGTCGAGGAAGCAGAGCAGCAGACGAGACTGGCCAGACGCCTTATTCGGGATGGTACGACGTCTACTATGGCGGCGACACCTTGCTTAACCGTGCAGTTTTGCGCTCCACAGCAGCACTGCAAGCGAGAGACTTCTACGCCTTGGCCGTTCAAGTGACGAATCCAGATTATAAGACCGACTATGTGGAGAAAATCTGGCGTGGGAATTTCCTACGCGAGAACATGGCTAAGATGGCCAATACCTCTTTCCACAAAGCCGAAACTGACGGCACCGCAAGCGGTATCAGCCTTCCCGGTTACCCAGGTCGATTGCAGGAGCAGGTTCTGAAAGTCTATGTCCGAGACGCTTTGGGGTATATGCAAGGCACGTATGAGCGCAGTATTCTGGAGAACCCAGAGCGACGTGGAGGAGGCGAAGACACTTTTTTGAATGTCTACCCATTCGAAAACAGTTGGCAACTCTATCAGTTCGAATGGCCGAAACGTGCTGTGGCTTTAGTTACGGTTTCCCATATTGCATTCTGCACTTGAATCCTTGACTTTTTTCAGTAGAAAATATTACGTCACAGGTTTCTTGCTGTTCTGAAACTGAAGAATGCAATGTTTAGAGGAGCCCCTAATTTAGAGTTTTACAATGCCGTAGATGGGCGTTTGATTACGACAACGACAGACAGTTTGAGTTTGGAGGTGCGCGATGATCTGAATCCGGAGGATCCCGTAGACTTTACGCACTTCGAAGTCACGCGATCTTTTACCAGTGTGGCTACTAATTATGGCTACTATTAAGTTCTACTACTACAACTCGATTAGTAAGAGTAGATTGTATCCCTGTGGTTGTGGAACCTCTACGCTTGAGTTGTACGTCTATGTAGTTGTACGATCCTTCAAGAGCTCGACGTTTGAAAAGTACTACGCTATTAGGTCATTGGATATTAACCTACCTTCCGGTTCTCTAAACCATTGGAGCCTTCACTGTTAGAACGGTTTCTTATCCGATGCACATGCTCCACCCTGTCTTCGACGTCAGCAAGCTGGTCCTTCCCTCTTTCGCTGTCTTAGGCACACAGTTGAAGGTCAAGTTGCGCTTCCTGATTCCTCCTCACTTTTTGGTCTTGGATCGAGTCCAGCAAATTTACTTCCACAAGGATGAAATGTTACAGGCAGGCTACTACGCGAATGGCGAGGACAGAGCGGCACTAGACAAGCTAGTTTCTTTGAGTACACAAGTATGGAACACGACCGAGAAACTACCAGCTGACTGGTATCACCATTTTCAGAGGGCGATTGATTCGGTGAATCTGCAATACTGCCATGGAGTTACGCTAGAATCGCTCAAGCAAGAAGCTCTACAACGAGCGGCAGCGGAGGCTGCAAGTGGGTCAAATACTGCAACTGCTGCAGCGACGACTGAAACGGTTATGTTAGACGCCCAAGGGAATCCCATCGTCCCTACTACAACGACGACCACAACTACGACTTCTACAACCACTGTGACTCAGTTACCTTTTGGCGTTCCTCAAAATTTCCCCTGCGTCAACATGAACGAGTTGATGACTCAGTACTACTATTACTACCAGGAGCAAACGGGCGCGAAGATATTCAAGTACCAACCACGATTGCAGGACGACCTCACGACGGGCACAGCAACTTTTGATGCCAGTAATGCGTCGAACGCAACAGCTGGAGTCTTCGGTTACACTGTGGAGGAGAAGTATCCGCGTCTACTGGAGGCCGCACCGCGTTTGGGTTCGCCCATGAGCAACTTCACCGATATGCCATGGGATACTTGGTTTACGTTCAAAACAAACCTACGTGTCATCGCTCCCAAGTTCTACGCATGGTATTTCTTGCGGTCGGACCATTATTTTGTGAACAATTTTGGCGGCACAATTCGCAATGGACGCACGCGGAAGGCAGCAGCTGGGTACGGGACAAAGCCCAGCAATGAGGTTCAGGTTCAGGAGTTTAACGTTTCGACAAAATACTTGTATGAAATGGAACTCGTGATCCAGACTCCAGAGTACACGAGTACACCAAGAGGACCGCTTAGCTTCAAATTCGAGCTTGGGTATAAGCCGCCGGATCACTACATTGCGCAGGTGCCTGGGTCGACGTATCATTAAGGCTACTGCGGATGCATTTTTCAGACTACCCTTGGCCGTTTTCCTGAGGGAAAAGCACGCGAAGGATGCCCGTGAGGGATGCAACGCAGTAGCTCTAATATCAAGTGATAACGTCGGACACGACGACGACTACGGTGGCGTACTACGTGCCCACGACAACCGCCTATCTCGAAGCCGTGGCCGCGCAGACCCTAGGATCGCCGAAGTTGCAGGTCATCTACGATGCGAGCGTGCAGAGTTTGGACAACCGCCTCGGGTCGAACGTGAACCTGATTATCATGAGCATGCGGACAACCACAGTGTTGCAGGAGGGCTTTGCTTTCGTGTTTGAGGGTGTATCGGTTGCGACCATCGATCTCTTGCTCTTCTGCACCCCAGAAAGTCTGAGTCCTCTCCTAGATGTGGACGACTTTCGTTGTGACAGTGGAAATCCAGGAACTGGAAGTCCGGAGATGACGCTGAAGTTAAGATCAGTCGTGGACGATTTAGCCGGGTCCAGGATTTAAATATAATCTGATGACACGATCGCTTCTTCAACTTCATCGAGTTTTCAAGTAAGAGATTCGTGCTGAAGATACACTCGTACTTCAGTAGATGCGAGAGCCAGCTAGACTTAGATGAAGGAACATCAACATAAGTATCTCCTTTGAACGAACAAAGTGTTCCTCTAATCCGGCTTCTCACAGGACCGCATCCGCCAGGTTTCTATTCCTTCAAGATTTTGGCTCGCAACCCGACGGGAGAGCAACTCTACACAAGAACGACAGGCGTGTGGTTTCAAATGGGCACCTATTCCTTTGGAACCAACCGAAGAACCCGTCGTCTAGTAGAACGGTTAGGCTCAACATCTTCTGCATCCAGTACTAGTTCTTCTTCTTTCACAAGGGAATTGGAACAAGCTGATGCCAGGGCAGCTCTTGAGCCGGAAGCTGAAGCATCAGACGTGGCTAGAGGCGAAGAAACTAAGAAGAGCACCAAGAGTCTAGCCGAAACGTCGCAGTCCGCTCACTCTGCAAAATCAGCGAAGGAGGTTGATGATACCCCACTGCCTTCTCTGCCAGTGCCTGCCTGGTTTACGAAGGCTGAAGAGAAGGCGCTTGCGGAGCGACGTCAGCGACGCTTACAGGTTGAGAAGCTGATGTCCGCCGACCAGTTAGAAAAGGCGGGTGAGACTGGCATGTTCCTTCCTAGCGACGAAAATGTCATTTTTCCTTTAGGGGAGCAGCCGAAACTGCGACGGTTCTTGGAAAGCTGGAATTCGAGAAGGCGGAGACTTCGAGGTTCTTGGTCGCCATCTCCAATCACCGAGCGACTACTCTCAGAAGATATCGCTGATGAATTAGACATGTTTCTTCTCGAGACTCTAGACCTGGGCAGCACCGTTGACCCCTTGGATGCTTTGGTTGCACGTGAAGAAGACGATAGTTCGAAAGTACCTTATGCAGCAGCTTCCGTCCAGCGAGCCATAGTAGAGGACCAAAGTAGAGGGCAACACGCTGAAAAGGAAGAGCATCAGCATGTTACGTTCCCCCTTGCTGCGGTTAACTACCTGAAACAGAGACGGCGAAATCTACAAGGCGGAACAGCACGCACACTGGATAAGCCCATGATCGTAGGTTTAGACCCGCATCCAGCGATCTTTTGTGTCCCAACAATGAAGAGCTTTTTTTGGGTGTCAGGGCAAGACGTGAATCCCGACTACCTCTCTTTTCTCGGCAAAGATGATCGTCCGCAGAAGAACACGAAAGTCTTCTTCGCATTCAAGTTGCTGAACACCTTACCCAGACGACCAACTGTAAAAATGGTGCTAAAAGCGCCACAAGGGTTCCTTTTCGATGAGAAGTGCACAGTCGATTTGAAACCGGTTTTCCGCAAGGATTACAGCAGCAACGCTCTGACGCATCGCTATCTCGTTCGGCGACGTTATACCCAGACGTTCTCAGTTCCGACATCGACGACGACAACGACAACTACCACAGGTGCGAGGTATGGGCCAACGGAGTTAGACTTTTCTTACAGAAGCGCGGCTGTGAACCAATTCCAGGCTGTCGGATTACCCATGCCTCGCGCTTACGACCGAACTGACGGCGTTCCTAGTGCTATTACTGAGTACCTGTCGAATTTGACCAGAGTTGCTTTGGAATCTGGCGCCTCCACGGCATTTGATGGTGTGTTCCGGTCAGAGCGCTTCTCGATGACACCAGCAGAGCAGGACAACCAATGGGGTTTGGAGTTAGATTAAGGCTTATTCTACTTAGTCCATTTTTAGAGGAGTCACTCATCCTAGAAGGAGAGAGGGTTTGTTTGCAAGGGGAAAAGGCCACACGGACACGCACCGAGAATATTGCATCTACACCGAGATCAAAACCCAAGAGGGTGGGCTCTAATTACAGTCGTGTACTGGTGCCGCAAACTCAGCAACGATTTTGTTTAGACCAAACGACAACTACAACTACATGCTGGAGAAAGATACGATGTACTATTTTGGCGTGTGGCTACAGAATCCTACAGTGGCTTCAAAATTTGGCTGGTTCGCCATGGACTTCGAGACGGAAACGAGCGGACCTGTAGAGGCCTATCAAATTCGAACGATGAGCAAAGCCCAACTCTTCCCGACCTCGCAAGCCTATGCGCCTCTACCATCCGATGCAACAGCTCGAACGGCAGCCAACATCCGTGTGTCGTTTACACCAGTGACGCCGATTACGCCTCTGTATGAGTACATCCCGATTGTGACGAGGCGGCAGTTGGCAGACGAAGTTCCTGGTAAAACAGTTTCTGACAAAGCAAGCGACTTTAAAGTGAGAGTTGATGCGACAAGGGAGGCTACAACTACAACTACACATAGTATGTTGGGAAATACAGCATCTGCTTCTGCGAACAGAGAAAAATACGAGCGAAACGCGGTCGGCGAATTCGACGAAGCGTATGCACGTTGGAAGGAGACTTACGATAACGGCCGACATCAAGACAATGTTGCACACATACTGCCACCTCGCAATCTCGAAGATAACAACAACTACAGCCCTGGCCTAACTTCAGATCCAAATTCAAACCTCGACAATGCTAGTGCAGCAGCCGCAGCGCCAGCTCGTGGTGTAGAAGTAGGCGTAGCAGGGTCATCCTCATCTTCCTCTGGCTCACTAGATCCCGAAGAAGAACGTCTGTTGCAAGGTCAAGTTCCAGCTGATGGGCATTTCATGCAGGGATCGCAAGTCGAGATCGTCGCACCTCTAGGTTTCGAATTCGTAGCTGCTCCGGGAAACAAAGGCTGTTCCGGCTTTGTCTTCTATCCAGCTGACAACAAATTAGACGGCTATTTCGAAGGCGAGCACGTTCGCTGCACCACTCAGGGGCAGAAACTGAAGTTAAGGGTTTCCACGTTGCATTCTGCACTTGCATCCTCGGCCTCTTTTCAGATGGGCCAAGGATGTTCTGAAGAATGTAATACGGCAACCTTCAACGAAGATCATCTTCATCGGCAACAAAGGACTTGAGTCCGATGTTAGCTACGTCTTTGCGGCTGATATCATGAACGCGGATGAAAGTAAAGCGAATATTTTGGAAACAGCAAGTTGGATCATTCAAACGTATCAATACACAGATACGGATGTGACGGATGGGGAGCCAGGGAATCTAATCGCGATGGATGAAGTCTTAATCCCGACTTACACCATGAATGAGTACGTTAAGGCTCCTACCACTGTCAAGCATCCCCTCAGCACCCGAGTCTTAGTCCTTGGCTCTTCTTTTTCTACGTGTGAAAAAGAACAAGGAGCCAGAGTAGACTCGCCGAGGGATGATCATGCGAACGCGGTAGCTCTAAGAACATGGAACGATGGGCAGTGACAAACTACTGGGGGAAAGTGAAGGGAGGCGAAATGATCGACGAACTTTACTTCCGCATGAAATTTTTTGTTAAGACTTGTGGAGTTCTTGCTATCACCATCTAAAAAGGAGCAAAGGGAATTCAATGGTTGGTGAAACAGAAATGACGATAAACAAGTTCCAGAACAGCTTCTGTTCTTCCACTACTGGGTACTCGACTTGAAAATGAACTTGTTCTTCTGTGCCTACTTCTAATCTCAGTCATGTGAAGACTGGACAGATCATCTACATGGAGCCACCGGAGGGCTTTCAGCTCCACGAACTCGCTACAGAGATGGCAGCGCCGCCTAATCAACTGGAGCATGGGCTGAGTCCGTGTTGGGGCTTCGCTTGGACTGGCACGTTCAATCGCTACTTCTTTACCACACCGGATCCCTACTGTGGTTGCTATTATCGCGATCTACTAACCGAAGAGCCACTTTCCTATCTGTGGCCCTACGACGATGTACGAACAACTTCGACGACAACGCCAGCCCCCCTTGGTCCAGACGATTGCCCCCGACTAGTCAGCAAGACAGGCAGAACGCAACAGTGCTACATGCGTATCAACATTTTCGAGAGACTCTCCTCTGTCTGGAACGCAGCACTGTCGGATCCAGATCGTGCTGTCATTCAATTTCGTTTGAAGACGCGGAATCCAGCGGAAACGCCGTTTGTAACTAGAAACTTCTGGCAAATCTGGCAATACGAACCCAGTGACATGTACTTGCGGTCTAGGTTGGACAAGTTCCGTAGTGATGTAGAGGACGGCCGTGTCACGGAGAACCACATATTCTTGCCAGGGGAGCCGCCAGCGACTTTACCAATCGCGGAGACTGGGGGAGCGAGGAGGAGACGGACAGCCGGCGTTAGTCGGGGGAGTGTTGGAAGTAAAAAACAGGGAGTATTATCTGCAAGTGCAACAACAGGCTTATCGCCTCTGCTTGATGCAGAAGCGAGTACCCTGTTAGAAGATGATCTGTTGTCATGCAGCGGAACATCATCTTCCTCTGCCAACAATGGTGCAGCAGGAGGCACCTGTACTTTCCGCAATAGCCATTTAAGAACTGGTGAGGAATCCATCGTGGATTTTCTGCGAGACACTAGAGTAGACGGTGAACAAGAAGATGATTTCTCAGACGACCTCTCAGATCACTTGTCAGACGTAAAAAACGATCTCAGATTCGTCGAGGGCTCCCTGCTGTTTGAAAACGACGCCTTGCGCTCGTTACGCGGAAAAGCTTTTAACGTAGAGAGAGCACGAAGCAAAAGGAAAAAAATACTGCCTAAAGGTTTCATCGACGAAGTCAATGATCCGAACGGAGTATTCACGAGTCAAGGAGCACTGGACTTGGACAGCACGGTTGTGGGGAAGTTCTTGTTTGCTTCTGAGAACACCAATACAATGGAACTGACCGACACACCGACAGCGAGGAGAATTATGGCTAGCATGGTTATTTTGTATCGTTGTAGAATTAGCGCTAGTTACGTAGATTGGACGCATTCTTAGACTGATTGATTACCCGCAAGAAATGGAGTGTTATAAGAATCATGTTGAACTTAGTAGTGGATGGACTCTCTAAGACGCAACTACAAAGCAACAAGCCTGTAGCTGGTGATGTGATTCAAGTGGCATATCAGATCGGCGGCCCAGACAACGGAGTTTCACCGCAACGCTTTTCCGTAAACGACAATAATTGGCTGCTCATGCGTCCTCGGCTTAATACCGCAGAGATGGTCCCTCCATTGCACCAATTAGTGGCGGAGTCGATTTACAAGTCCTACCGAGCAAACGGAGCCACGGCTAGCGGCACTACTCAGGATGCAATATCGAACTCCAACGAGTGGAGCCTGCTCACCACGGGAGGCTATCTGAATATCAAGTCCTCTGCGGTCGCGGCAAGCTGGCGCGTGCGGAGTCAGTTTATCTTTCCGCATCTCGCTGTTATTGGAATGGGTGGTAGAACAGGCGCGACGACAGACTTGCTATTGCAGTTTACACCAGTGCACGAAGCGAATACGTGCGTTTTCAACGTGCGACAGCCGGATCCATTCAGTTTCAATTATGATAGGAATGAGTAGTTTTCGTTTTGTTTTTGTAATTCATTGTTGTAGTGACACTAGCCGTAGCTATTCGTATTCTTTTTATCTTATCAGTCTCTCTCTAGTTCGCCTTTGCCTCCCTCGTCTCTCTCTCTAATCCCACAAAACCACGGCTTACATGAATGTCACTGCTGTACCACGTCTAGTCGAACTTCGCAAACAGAAGGTCTTAGCTGTCCTCGACCAAGAACGGAACCGCTTGAACCAATTCGGCAAGAAGTTGACTGACGTCCAGCACGCCACGTTGCGCGACGTGGAGTTTCACACTGGCTACCATCAGAAGATGACCTATCACGAGCTAGGTCTGGATGATCAAAATCCTAGACCAGACAGCTATTTGGACGAAAGCTACTTCCTGCATCCGACATTCGAGTACAATCGTACGAATCTCTTACCAACCCAGGTCGTGCCAGAATTCTACCAGAACCGAAATATCAGCGGCGACGAGCGCACACCAGTGCAGAATAGCGAAGAATGGGTCCCGTTGCCGCACTTTTTTGACACCCGCGGTGGCGAAAACCAGCTGATTTTGCAAAATTGTACACTGTGCCCACAGCAGCGCACACAGATCCTTCTCAAGAACGTCTCAACCTTAAGGCTTCAGGAGATGCATCTTCGCCAGCATGATCTTGGGGTAGTTTCTGATATGGGAAATGATAGAGGGAGAGCACCAAAATGCCTGCTCTAGGTAGAAGCATGTTGATTTCCTGTACTACTAGTACCTCTAACATGCGGTAATTACACCGAAGCCATGCGCCTCTCGCTGATTTCTTATCTGTTCAACGAAATGCGAACAGAACAGAAGTTCTACGAGTACGTCACAGGTTATCAAGAAGGCCTCGACGAGTTGTTGGACTACACAGAGCGCACGTGGACCGAGTTTCAGAGACCTGGGCTTTTGGCCCCTTTAGAAGATTGGAAGTACGAGAATCGCGTTGCAGGATATGTTGCCGTAAAATTAAGTCTCAACTTTCAATGGTCACCATTTAGATTGGAGTCACCATTTAGATTGGAAGAGGCGACCCCTTCTTGAGAGAACCAACAGGGGAAAGAAACGAAGGGAAAGGGGAGAGCTTGGAAGGGGGTCTCTCTCGTTCAGAGTCATGATGACCATTGAATGCTGAGCTTTAATAAAAGGCATTCCAAAACTGCTCTCTGAAGATACAGTCCGTTGTGCTGATGGCATTATTGGTGCTGCTGGCAGCGGGGAGAACAATGCCAGTAATGGAACGGTCCGTGACGTGTCGCAGATTCCTCCACCGGTTGCTGTGCCAGAGGGAGTCGATCCAATTGACTTTCAACTGCAAGCCAATCTGGCCACCATGACGCCGGATGAACTGCTTGAGTATTTTGGTCGTGGGTCAGCAGAAATCATAGCAGAATATCAAGACTTGGACACTTTGCGGAGTTTGCAAAATTTATGGCATAGTCTGTCGTAGAAGCTGTTTCGGTGTTGATTCATTTTGAGAGCCCTGTGCGTGCGTGTTGCTAGAATTCGAGTCTACTTCTTCCATCTACATGTCTGCAGAGTATGACTGAAAATGACTCTGATCATTAGATAGTAGTGTCCTTACATTTAGCCAGAGCAGATAGACAGTTGGTGCATTTCTTTGGATGTTGTTTGACAAATATTCGACCATAACGCAAACCTCTCTCTAAAACCCGATCCGTTTAAACTTCGGATGCTTCCAGACGGCCGTCAACTGGGTGGCTTCTCGGAATTTGCTAAGTATGGGCACAAAGCTCCGAACCATGGGTGTGATCCGATGTTGAAGCTCTTCGAGCCCCAGCTCTATGAACCAAGTCGCATGACCTTCGTTGCACGATTTCAGCGGTCTTTGTATTCAGTTAAGGAGGAGTAAGATTTCGATATTGATTTAGATACCTCTTCGATACCATTCTTGTTGTAAATTGATTCATTCTACTTACCGTACTTACGTTCTAGAATAAGTAGTTTTCGGCACTATGATGTTATGAGAAGAGCTGCTCTAATCCAGGCGGAAAGATCAGAATTCAATCCGTGGCGGACATGGGGCAGTTTCTGCCGGACCCAATAACGCGAGACGACGTGTTTTATCAAGAACAGCTTCGCAAAAACAACGAACCCTGGGAATTGCTTTACACTTATCCTTACTTATGGCTCGTAAATATGATTGTGGAGGATAAGTAAATTTGGATTTTCTCTTCTCTTGGTCTTGCTTCGGAGTAAATCTAACCCTACTGCTCTACTTGGTATCATTTTTTTATCAATGAATTGGATTACTTGACTCTTTTGTATTTTTGTTTCCTAGAAGTTAGGTGTGCTCCACCGATATTATCTGTTTTTCGTATTCGTACACTGAAACAGAGCAAGCACCACCATGAATGGTAGAACGCTGCATTGTTCTTCGTATCCGTACACTGAAACAGAGCAAGCACCACCATGAACGCTGCATAGGTTACGTCCTCTAACTGCCCAACCGAAGGTTTACGAATGCTTTCCGACATTCAATCAGCGATTCGATGACCGGGAAGAGTACGATGCTTGGTACGCGCAAACAGATCCGGACCTCCTGTGTCCACCAAACCTTCGCAAAGAACACGTCATACTCAAGTCGGAAGATTAAGGCCACCGCTTTTATTCCTGTTTGATAAAAATATTCTTTATTGGGATTATGGGTTCTTACGTGATGATTGACATGCGTGACATAGATGAATGACATGCGCGACATGCACAGCATGTATCAAATCCCTCTAGTACAAAATTACGTCTCCATCGCAGATACTAGACTGACATGCGTGATGATACGCAACCCAACAACTGCTAAGCAGAGACCAGTCGAAGCGCAGAAGAGGTTGTAGAACGGATTGAGGCATCGCCTGGTTACGGCTTTGCAACGCGGAAGACCATGTCAACTCGCCGTCAGTCGATCGATTTGACCATGCTGAACGTGCGGGAGACCCGCGCAAGGTATACAGGGACAAATACGAAACTCTTGACCGGGACAGCGGATGAACTTTATGACAGTATAGGACAGTGGCGAAGACGCTTTATCCTTTAGAAGCTTAAAGTCGCACAATACTTACTTCTATGTGAATACGCTTTATCCTTTAGAGGCTTAAAGTCGCACAATACTTACTTGAAGAAGACGCTTTATCCTTTAGAAGCTTAAAGTCGCACGGTACTTACTAATACTTTATCCTTTAGAAGCTTAAAGTCGCACGGTACTTACTTCTACGTATTCTCGACCCTGAGAAAAAACTTACATCACTTCTGGACTAACCACTCCTGTCCTGCACTCATATTCCGTCATACTGCATATTGCAACCACACGACTCTAATCACTGGATTTCGACATCATGCCGACATTCAATTTCGATCAGAGTGGTGGTATCCCTGCAGGGCTAGAGGTCACGCGCATTGCGGAAGTTCCCGATTTACTTGATGCAGGACCAGCGCAGCGCGCTGGAGTGCAGCCAATTCGAGATCGATTGGTCTTATGGGCACGTTGGATGATTGTAGTTGATAAAGGACTCAGAATAGAGATGTCTACGGGAAAGACCTTCTGATGATCCTACAAACTCTACTCTTCTCTGGACCAATGCCAATAAGCTTTTAAGTATGCTCCTTTCCATCACCCATAGCAGATAGATATTACCTCTTCTAACAGGAGCAATGATTTCCGCATCTGGCATGTACCATGTCCTCGTGAAATCGGTTCTGACGCCTGACGCCATCGAAAATCATCAATTCACGATGCAAAAGCTTTTTAATGGTGTCATTTACCCGATCACACTGATCTTCTGGGGAGAGCGCAACGTCCTAGTAGATGAAGTACCGGTTCCTTTAGTCGCAGAAACCTTTTTGGACCCGACGTCACAAAAAATGGTGAAGAAATGGGACGACCATTTGGTGAACGACTACGTGGTTTTTGAGCTCTGGGTAATGCCGGGCAAGGGGGACAGTTTCCTCAGAATCGACGCAGAACGATACAACGCGACTAGATCAAGGTACATGCTCACATCAACAAACGACGCTACCTACTACATGAACTCGAGTGCCATGCGGTTGACCTACCCTCTGCCAACAGCAATTATTCCCGGAAAAGCAATGGGCGGTCGTGCGTCCCCGATCTCCATCGTGCTGGCCGAAATGGACGTAAAGCTGTACAACATAGACCGCAATCTCTACTTCGAGAACGACTTCTTGAGCTACAATGACACAACCATAGACACCTTGGGTCCGCCTTTGTACAACGACATACGGATCTGGAACCGCTTTGTCATGCAGTTAATCTTTGGCGAAGACATCTTCATCAAAATCGGTAACAACGAAGTGACCACTGACGAAATCACCGCTTTTGCTGTTCTTATGGGTCCTTGCGTATGCAGTTTCATCGGTTCGGTATGTTCATGTGCTACACAAGCCACGGACGCGCCTTACCTACATGAGTAAGTAGTACTTTTCGAAATTATATGCCGTATGGTATCAGTATTAGAAGGCACGCTCCAAGTACTAGAAGATGAACGATCCCTCGCGCCTCTATTCCTGAAGCTTGTTCTTCTAATCTTCGCGAAGTAATGACGAAGAACGTCTGGCTGCGCAATAATCTCCTTTTGGACGATTATTTTCCTATGTTAAGGCTTTCCGCATCAGTAAGGATGTTGACTTTTCGGATTTCATGCTCTTGATCTCAACGGATAAAAGTAATTCCGCACTACCCTGAAAAAAAACTACTTACGCTTGCTAAAAAACCATTGTTTTCTATTTCTAGCAAATGGAGGGTCATGGCAAGCTCTAAGTATCACAGACTGGCTTTCGGACGAGAACAAGTTTTGGATAGTGCAGCAGCTGAATTCAGGACCATCGTCATTAAGGCAATTAAGTATGCGAATTAATCACTGGTCAAAATGAAAGGCAAAGATACTTCTAGGAATGTTCATCTTTTAGTAAAAAGGCAACGGGTGCATTTTACAAGGAGATCTCTGATCTCGTCATCTATCTTCAAAGATGCTCACTCATTATCACTACGAATGCGAGATGTTAACACTGTGAGCACGAATGTCTTCAATTATTTCGATGTTCAGTCATCCTCATCTCTAAAACACTCATCCTCATCGAACGCGGGTCTTTTTGTTGGTGCGGAATCTTCTGCGACTAGTACAGCCTTTTCCCCGTTCGGAGATCTCGGTGTGCAAGTAGACAACACAACGACGCCACCGCCATACAACATGACCTGTCAACCCTCAATCTGGAAACATGTCTTGCAGGTAGTACAAAATTTGAGTTAAGAAATACACCTCTTTTCGTAGCTCCAATCTGGAAACATGTCTTGCAGGTAGTAAATGTACAACAACCGGACAATTAGCACTAGGACATCTGAAATTTAACCCTCATCATTGACTGACGTATAGTCATGAAGTAGACGTAGACCTATCCTAACAAGGGTGCTTCTCATTGCGGATGCGGAATCACGGCAGTCCTTTTGGCCTATGAAAGACGAGGTGGTAGTAGTTTACGTAGAAAAGATAGCATCTCAATGAATTTGACAGGTCTGCGGCAAGGAGAAAGATTGCAAGTCCTTGATTAGTGGTTTGCGGGATCTCGAAGGGAAAGTTCCGCCGCTAGAGGCTGCTTATCGAACTTGTGACGCCTACTGTTTGGCCCAACAAGGCGGATACGAATGCGTCCGTGCGGCAGAAGAAGTCGGAGATCCAGTGACGGGGTTACCTACCTGTGCTCCGCAGGCAGAGTACGACTGCGACTTCGATTTTGGGAAGTACACGGATGATGTTATGCGGAGACAATGACGCAGAAGTTCTAGATGGTAGTAGATTTATCAATCGTTATTAATTTCCAAAGTTAACTAAAAACCGAATTATACTAATTAATTGAGCATACTGCTACACGACTTCTACTAGGATTCCTGGACTAGAATGGAATATAGAAGTTGGGACTTATTGTTGTAGTTGTTTGTCATGAAGTAGACCCTTTTTTCTAATCCCTCGATTTGCGAGTGCCGTCCGACAACAACGACCACGACCACGCCGCCACCTCCTCCCCCACCTATTCCAAAAGTTGACGTGTCGCACATACTAAGGGTTTCCACATTGCATCCTGCAGTAATATCCCTGACTCTTTTAATTCCTACTAAGAAAAGACGTCAGGGATGTTCTCGAGAAAGCAATGTCGGAACCTCTAAGCACGGACTTCATTCTGCCAGAGAGATATGAGTTCTTCAATGCTCAAATCTCAAAGTTTCCGGGTACACAGGGGAGAAGGAATTGGGGAAGTATGCTCTTTCCGTATGAGAATCCGCCACCCATGCCACTAGAAAAAGTCATCCAAACACCTTCGGCGAATCCTGACGACAATCGATGGTTCATTTAAGGACACAGAGTTACAAGTAGTGCTGGAAGAAGAATTGTTTGAATAGATCTCAAGTCTTTTGAGTTTGTCGAAGAGAAATCGTGCAAGGTACGTGGAAAGCCAGCCGAAGAAAGGTGAAACTCAAATTGATTAACAATGATGTAAATAGTCTAAATCACCCGGAGTCGACGAATGTTCAATCATTTCGTACAGACGGGAGCCAACCTCCAGGGTCCAATAGGCTACTACGAACAGCGGTCGACGATCACGGGGTGGGGCATGATTCCAGGATTCAATTATGTGATCACGGATTAGTTTCTGAAACTTTTGCTTAAGCTCGTTCACCAAAGGGTGGTCACTATCAGTGGTACGCGGTTGTACTAACAAGTAATCACGTGGTGTCACCCGGTCCTTTCTCTGGATGTTTTTGCATGCTGCAAATTATCATACGGAAAGACGCAAGTTCTTAAAAATCTCTGTCTCACGACAATCCTTCTTGTCTAATCTCCTCTGACGAAGCTATCACGGGCTCAGATTCTGTATCCTGTGCTGCCAAACTTGGTGAGTGCCGATGTCCACGTTAAATTCGAGTTGCAGTACGTCTTGGTAAATTTGGCTCACAGCATCATCATCCAGTCACCACGTGGCTTCTTGCTGCAGTGTAAACATTAAGGCTTTTCTTCTTCTTGTACCTATCTATATGAACAAAGATTCCCTGGCTGTGTGCGGCGCAGGCCAAGGTGCACAAATGAGGAGCTAAGACTTGTTCTGCCACGACCTATTACAGATATAATTCTCATCATGCTCTATCAAGCAAAGAGGTACATACAGATTGGACTGAACGCAATCAATGAAAAAGCAGCCTTCTAAGAAGAACCGAGTGTGCCAAGTCCGCAAGCTGATCCCTACCGCTGTCGAACCTGCATCGATATTGTCCGGAGCCGTCTTTATTTCACGGAGGTATACTTCTCCTTTTCCTTCTCATATGAACAATATGAAATACAAGATGATAACAATATGAAATACAATATGAAATACAAGATGGTTTCCTTAGCAAAACAAGATGAGAACAATATGAAATACGTGTTGAAGGCATTGTTCACGTCGAACTTGATACATAAAATATTTATGTTTTCTACCCGACTCCGATAGAGTCAGTCTGGGCATATGTAAAGAAACAATTTAGCATCACCACTACAACTACCAGGACGCCGAGAACAACGAAGTAGGCTTCAATGTCGCACCAGGCGCGGGTGGCGCAGACGGGGCTACTGTGGACCCAACCCGGGCAATCTTCGGTACCGCTATCTACGAAAACATCGACCCGATTACGGGACTGTGCTACTTATGAAAGGGCTTTGCGAGTTTGTTCTGGTACTATATTCTTTCAGTGAATAAGAATGGGTTTTGCGAGTTTGTTCTGGTATAGTCTTTCAGTGAATATGAATGGGTTTTGCGAGTTTGTTCTGGTATAGTCTTTCAGTGAACCTGAGTCGCAATATTGTCCGGAAAGGAGACAGAGAGACCCTATTTTATTCCGAGCAGTTTAAGCTTATATTTGGAAAAATAGATCTGGAAATAGATGTTCAAGTACAACTATGATTGTAAAATTGTTGGCTTGTCGTTAAGTGTACTGGATAAAAGTGACTTCATCTAAGATACGACCCCTTCGAGATGCTCCAGCCGCAGGACGCTTTCGATTAAGGCTTATACAGAAGAGAGATGAACAAGAAAAGCTGCGTATTGCTCCTTATAACCTTATAGTTCACCCATCCAGCATACTTTTAACAGTTCATTTTGATTCATTTCATTTCAGCTTCTCCGTTTGCTTCTCTAAGGTTTCGAGCATTTCGCGAAGTTTAGTTACTACGTGAACATGTCCCTCAAGGGCCTGGTCATGTCCCAGCAGCAGATCGGCGACTACCGCGTCCTCGAAAACGCGGTACCATTTAGCTTTTTCCTCTCCCTGACGACTGCGGGAGACACGCGAACTGCAGTAGAGATCCGTGATGACCAACTAAGCACACTAAATCCGGAGGATCCTTCGATTATGAATCGATTAAGAAATGAGCAAAAGCTGTTCTAGACATAGACCTTGTAGAAGAAGTGTGTACAACTGAAAGATTATCCCGAGGAAGGGAGTCAGATAATATTACAGCTAGTGTTACAACCAAGTAACTTGTTGTAAGCTTCAGTGTTACGTCCTCATTACTTCCTCCAGCATCCTTCTAATCTTTCCTACAACGGAGACTGGGCCATTCGCATTCACGACAACGTGAACATCACAGTTGATGCGGTCTTTAGGATACCGAATCCGCATTTCGTAACTGGTCTGCCTATGGAAGCGCCGCAACTGCGTATGCAATTTCCGGAGTTTAACTTAAGGCACCTCACGATGGATGGTAAATATTCAAAGTACGCTCACCACACTTGTAAGCTTCCTAGATCCGGAGCCTTACTTTTTGCTGTTGTTTCGTTTCTGCTAGGAGTCTTCTTCTGGAACCAATATTCACAATATTTATGTGAAAACACCACTAGTAGTTGTACACAACAATGAAAATGAATGACCCTCCTGAGGAGCTCTAATCGAGGTCCGAGAGGCAGGCTCCTGGGACAAATGGAAGAGCACCATAACTGTGAGTTTCCGAACACGAAATATGGTGTATTTCATCGACGAACGAACCCGCTTCAAAGCGATTCTGATAGTGTTGCCGCAGATGTACGAACACAATATCCTGGAACCATCGGAATTCAAGAGCTTAAATCGCAAGTTTCCGACTGCGATGAATCAAGACTGGCGACAGTATAGGGCGAGCAAGCGCTATGTCGTCATCCTGATCGAAGCAGTGGGAATCGAGGAATTGCGCTTAGACATCGACACCTACTCGTGGCAGTTTCCGGTAAAAGTGCCATCAAATTCCTGGCCTATCGACACGACATTCCAGCTCGCTTTGTGTCGGAATTACAATCCGTGCGCGTGGCCCATGCCTGCGGAGGATTATGTTGTGCGATTTCCGATTTACGGACCGACGAGGGAAGAATACCTCCATCTCATAGAGATCGACGACACGGTTTACTACAGAGGGAATGCGCAGCGTTCGAAGAAACCGAATTTCCTGGGTAGGCTTCTAGGGACCACTCCTGTTGGCTTCTGGAGTTGTTGTCTTTGGTTAGTACTGTTGGTTTCGACCACAGTTGTCCTCGTGTAGGAACGGGACAGACCAGGTTTCTGCATAATAATACCAGAGGTAGTTAATATGTATGTCTAGTAAAAAGTAAGGAGCATCTGAGCCAGTGAGTAGTGGTATCCAAGTTACAGTGTACTCCAAAACGCTAAACAATGGACAAGTTTTGAGTATATGGAGTTTCGACAATTCCTGATTGATTCATCTTTTTTCTGATACTAAGAGAGACAGATAAAAATTATCGGTTGGACAATTCTGGTTGATGAATTCTTCGCAGTACGAACGTAGTTTTCTTGAAATTAAATCCGAACCCTTCATCGCAAATGATTACTTCATGGTTAACTTCAAGAGCGATATCTGTGCAGAGATCTCCGATTCTTAAAAGTAAAAAGCCAGTTATTCGAGATTCCGTAAGACGCTGTAGACTTGTCTATGTGTATTGCGTCCATTCTAAAAAGAATCGACTTGTCTACTGAGATCTAATGTAGAAAGAGTCATTGCTTTCCTGTCTGAGTGATCCACTCAAAAAACGTCTTTCTAAGTATGTATTGAAAGCATCCTAGAATTAGAAATTAGTGATGTGAAAACAAGACGCAGCAGCTCGGCTGCTGACTGTGGTTAGTATACGGATTCTATCAAGACAAAATGAGAGCTACGCGCTCGAATCAACACTTGAAAACGCATTCTGATTGTTACCCTCTACTCTCTTTTCCCGGATTATTTACAATGGAGGGAGCCCCTCGTTTCTGTTCGTGATGTATGTACTATGAAAAATCTGGTATGGATTCAGTACACTACTGCATACGCAAATACAATTCTATTGTGGCGCAGATATGCCTGGGCCTGCAAGATGCACCTGGAGCTGGACCTGCCAGCGAAGGAGAGGCGTTCCAACGAAAAATTTGTAGCGTGACAAACTTTTTCGAAAGGCTACTTCTGCTCATTCAATAGAGTCACTCGTCTTTCTGTGGATTCGGCTTTATACAGATCTTCATCACTAGTACTGCTTTTCTTGGGCAAGGCAGTCACTAAACCGAAAATGTACCTCTTACTCCAGTGATAAAATGTAAGGTTTTGGCGTTGCATCACCATAAACACCAGCAGACTTTACTGCCACAAGGACCAAAAAAGAAATGTCAGAAGCACCGACGACCGACGCACTGGCTGATGCGCATGCTGAAGCAGCGCCACCTGACGCATCCGGATCTGCTGATGGTCCGAAACCGAAGGAATACACAGCTGACGAGCTAGACTACGGCTTTATGCGAGTATGTTTTCGATGAAGACAAGTCTTCCCTGTTGCTTCTCATGCGATCTTCACTAGAGGATAATTCGGCCATCACCTGTCCTTCTCTCAGCAGAATGAACAGATTGTATCCACATCAAGTGAAGAAGTGAGAAGAGACTCCTGCATCTTCTAACAGCTGGAATACGTGAAGATGGAGACTCGTGCTATCGCAGAAAAGCAAGATGCCAGCAAAATGGCCTTTAAGCGGGAGAACAAAGGCAACACAGATGACGTGGAGCGTGAACTTTTTGATGGGACTGCGAATTAAGGAGGAACGGCTTTGAAATCATTATAATATGATTTGTAGATGTTTCAGGGGGAAAAAGACTTGAAATCATGAGTGTCTAGATGTTTCAGGAAGAGTAGGTACACGACAGCAAGACTATGGTATGCAGAGTAAATCAACACTGTATCAATGCACGTCTGAGGTCACGAGTGGTGATCATCTTCTCTAATCTCCAGAAGTTCAAGGTGGAGTGCGACCTGAGTCTTTCAAAACCGGAAGATGGTACAAATTCCTCAATTTTGACCAGTCCTGCTTCGTCTACGTGCACAACCTGACGCGAGATATCACAGCAGTGCGACCTGAAAACTTCACTTAAGATAATTGTCATTGTGTAGTTGTTGTAATAAAGCTGAGAGGACTTCTTGATGTTGCCAGCGCTAATTCCTAGAACCAACAGCGGAAGAGCTGGAGAGGGAGCGCAAAAAGGGACTGCCCTTGCAATTGCTTTTACGGGTCTGTCGATACTAACAAGGAAATTATACGAAAGGAATTTTAGTAAATTTTTCTAGATCTTGTGTGTCGTCAACCTCAAAGATCGAAATCAATACACATCGATAACGATATGCTTCTTTCTTGACAGGATAGATTCTTTCTAACTACTCGTGCTTGATGTTGTACATGCGACTCATGTATTCTAGCAGAGTTCACCTCACAGGAGCGAGCTCTAATCCTAGAGCCAGAGCTTGCAAAGTGCTACAGCCGAAAGAAAATTCCAGTCGTTTACTGCAATGAGCAGACGCAGGAAAATTAAGGCTCTATGCATTGAACATGAGCTCTAATATGTCGCTTCGCTTACTATGTCTGTATTAAAAAATGATAATGACTTCATCTAGATCTAGAATTTTTTTCTTTTTTGCTACTGCTAACTAGAGTTTGTTTTTCTAGTACTTCTCTGCTCGTTCCTGTAAGATGAATCCGCAGCAAGCGTCTTACTTCCTGATGCTGCCTAATAAAGAAGTACTACTTCTTGATAAAAAAAGAACTACGCCACTCCTAGATAGAAGAAGAACTACGTACTTCTAGATAAAAAAAGAACTACGTACTTCTAGATAGAAGAAGCACTACGTACTTCTAGATAAAAAAAGAACTACGTACAACTAGGCACTTCTACAAAAACGAAGTATTCATCTTCTAACACGAAATCCGTACCTTTATGAGCTACGGCCGCGGACACGTTGTAGAAACCGGTTTGCTAACGCGGATAAGCGAATTTGCATTGGAAAAAGCACGCCAAGAAATCGTCAATGCGATGCGATATGGAAAGTTTATGACATTTGGCGATGTGAAGTGCGCGACAGTTCTTTGACGTCCTTCTAGAAGGTTACCATGTAACGTATTTCGACGTCGAGGATGTGAAATGATTGATGATTCGGACTACTTTGATTCTGCTGGCAACGGGCTTTTTTTCTTGGGTCCATCTAATCTTATCAAGATGTAGTAAATCTCAGTCTGTAAGTGCTGAAGTAGATCTTGAGCATTCTATAATTGAGAAATGTAAGAAGTGAGTAGTACCTGATGAGCATCCTACTTTCTTGCGTCTTCGTCCTTGGTTTTACTTCATATCAGATTTGGTAATCGAGATACCAGGCAAAGTGTGTGACTTCCAGGAGAAAGTTTGCGTCAGAAAATGGGAGGCCTTCTTTCCGGTCGAACTCTTTACTTTCCGCGGCTGTGATGATAACTTATGATGACACCGCGATGACAAGTAATTCTTCTATGGTATAGTATACGCCGTGCTTGGGTACACTACGACTATGACTTGACAGAAATCCACCTTATTTCTGGTTCCAATTTTTCGCTTCTGAAAACCGACCCTTTCAACATGATTGACTTGTGTCCTGTGAACAAGTCGACTTCGGGCCATTCTTGTGAGCACCACTCCGAGCAAGGCCATGTCATGTCTAGCGGCACTAATTTCACTTGCTTGTTAACACTAGGCCATGAGTAGCAGCATATTTCAAGTTGTGACTGGATTACTTAGTTTAGATACAGTAGGCACACGACCGAGGTTCATCGTTCATCCTTACTGAGTAGCTCTAAGCAACAATTCCGTCAAGAAGAAAATCTATCGGCCAGACGACATCGAGGCGAACCAGTGCGTAGTGAGGAAAGGGTTCCAGGTATCGTCGCTATTGTATTCACGACATCCACCTTCTACCACCTCCTGCTGGATGACAGCGCTTTTGCAGGTCTATTGCTCGATCATAAAACTCAGATCTATTTTTTTCTCAAACTCAATTTCAATCTCATTCCTCAAGTCATCCTTCCTTTTAGCCTTCATGATATGATTTTTTTTCCCTTCAGGTAATCCTCACCTTGGCTTACGACTCGCAGAATTTTGCGATGTCAAGCATGAGGATGGACGAGTTGAGGAATAAGGTTCCAAATTTTGACTTGATGGAGGTAGTGCGTTGCAGAGGATAACAAACGCTGAGGATGGATGTGCGTTGCAGAGGATAACCAACGTAGGGAATTGTACATTGTCGAGGAAGATAGCAGACGTTGTTGTGGGATGCATAGGTCGCTGCTTTTCCTAGACGTAGTGGAAGGCGATAGGACAACTGAGGACGTTCATAAGGTTAAAGGGAGAACAAGTAGACGTCGAGGTTTTGCATTCATTTTAGATCCACAACATCGATCATCTCATTATTCTAGATTCACAACAATAGCCGTCCTTGTCGCAGCACTTCAAACTACTCACTCATCTTATCAGCAATTGCGTTGGAGAGCGATGCGCACACTCATTTTCATTGCAAAGGCATGATGCGCATTCACCTCTAGTAGAGACTATTCCACGTGCTCACTTGCTTTAATAATTCACCAGGACACAACACGCGAGTCAAAGATCTTGGAAGACGAGGACTTACTCTTGAATTACAATTAGAAGCTCAAACTCAGACATTCCAAAACGGATATCAATGCCGCTTGAAGAGCAGCAGAATGAACGCAGAACGCTTGCGCGTGGAGTGATGAACAATAGTAATAGTTATAAAACTGCACTGATCGACGTGGTATCTTGTCACACTTGGTGTTCTTGTTCTTTCTATTCTTGTTAGTAGTAGCAAACTGTCTCTGTGAGTGGAAAATAAAAGGACTGGCGATGAGAGGGTGAGCGGCTCGTGGGGAAGAGAGGAAAAACGCATCAAATTGTGGAAGTCCATTGTATGCATCAAATGGCCACCGTCCTTCTATCTGAATGCAGCTGCCTGACCCTGAGTTCCTTTTTTTTCTGGAAGTAACGAACTCTGTTAGTTGTACCCCAGTGACCACCGTCCGAGAAAGATGGGTGGAAAGTTCTGAGGATAAACTATTGAGGGTTCATCTTGGAGCACAGTTGATGAAGTTTTTTCTCGCGTCCATGACCATGCAGCGCATTTTTTCTATCTGCCATGTACAGTTTTCATGTCGATGCGAGTGCGTTCTTTATCAGTCTACCGCGTCAGGAGATACGCCGATGAGTCAGCGAGCCAACTATTCTCTCGTCCAACTAACCAACCAACGAACAGACCGACTATTCGCTCAACGAACCAGCCAGCTAGTATTCTCTCAGCCAATCCATCAATTCTGATTCAAACTGCAGGTTTAGACTATTTTCAAGATGTTTCAGTAAAGACGAGTATAACTTTCTTCACTTTTCCTTTTGCAACTACTTACAACAAATCACAGTATAACAGATATTGATATGTTTTCTCATGATTAATCATAAGACAATGGGCGAGCAGAGACGGCGTTCTGCGTCGGCGCTTCAAGAGCGTCTGCGTAAGGATAATCACCGTCAACAGGACGACGACTCGCCTTTTTTTCAACAAAATGCAAATGCTTCATCAAGACAACAGTTTTACTGCAGTAGCGAAAATTTAACGACTTCGACGAGCAGTCTCAATACTCATGTACAGAACACGGCTCGCGCTGCTAACACGAATCACATGACGCACGTGCCGAAGATCACACCATCAGCGACACTATTCCCGCTCACGAAAGTGGCGCCATCCTTGCCGTCCTCGTCCTTAATGTCAGCGAGCCACTCGATTTACCAGCACAACATCATGAAGCAGGCGGATGATTCTAGGCGCGAGGACACCATCATGAAGACGAAGGATGATTCTAGTTACCAGGACAGCACTAGGAAACCAAAGAAAGGCTCTACTAGTGACCAAGACAGCATCATCAAGAGGCAGAGTGGTTTTGCTTACCACTACCAGGACGCGGCGATGGAGAATGATTCTAGTTACCAGGGCAACATCATGAAGGGGCAGAATCATAATCATTCTAGTTGCCTGGACAGCGGCAGAATCATGAACATGAAGACGACGCATGATTGTAGTTACCAGGACGCCACGAGCAGCCAGATGAATGATTCAACTTCTTACTGGGGCACCATCATGAAGATGCAAAATGATTGTACCAGTGACCAAGACAGCATCATCAAGAGGCAAAGTGATTTGGCTTACCACTACCAGGACGCGACGATGATGAAGGAGGAGCATTCTAGGTTTCGGAAGACCACAAGCGCTTCTAGTTACGAGAACACAAACGAGACGAAAAACAGCGACAGCAACATGATGGAGAGCAGTCCGCTGATGGATTTGCGCGAATCTCGCAACATCGACGCCATCGCTACACCTGATCATGCTGGAGAAGGGAAAAATAGTCCTTCTTGTAGTAGGGTCTTCGATTCCTCCAAGAATCTTCTTACTTCTCCTATGTTACAGCTTTTGGTTTTGGAAGGCAAGGGTGGACAGAGCAAAGAGCTGCTTATGACTCGTGAGCGGCAGAATGAAGAACAGAACATCAACGTCACTGGTTCTACTGGGATCCCTCTGAGGATGATGAGCCGGAGTGATAGTGATATCAGGATGCAAGTAATGCAGTTACAGCTACCACTGTCGCTGTCGAATAGTCCTACATCGACGTCTGTCGTGGTAGCGAGTGACAGGCTCAACACTATGGAGCGGCGTAGTCCTGTTATTTCCCCTCCGCGATCGCGGACGCCAAGGGACGACCTTCAAGGTCGCGCTTTCGAGCACAAGAAGGCAGAAGCGAAAGTAAAGTCAATAGTGTCGACTGATGCGGGACAGAAGGACAGGGAGGAGATGGAATCACGCCAGGCTGCCATACCCTTGTCCCTTTCGCAGCCGGCTGTTGCGGCTGCATCCTCGCTAGCTTCCTCTGTATTGTTGCGGGAAACAGGCAGGTGGAAGAGCCAAACGCCTGCTGGCTCAAAAAATTATGACTCGTCTATTCTTCAGATTCAGTAAGAGGAAATCCGATATCTCCTCAGACTTTCAGATACTTTTTAGTGCTGTGAGGGTTGAGGATAGAGGTAGCATTTAGCTATGTAGATTGGTTCATGAATGAGAACAACTCATCTCCAGACTCATTGTCTACGCGAAAGGGTACTAGACGAAATCATTTAGCTCTTACATCACATCTAACGAACGCAGCCTGTGGTGAATTCGACGAAGCCTCACCGCCATTGTCGGCTTGCGAGGAGCCTTTCGCGCCCTGCGCGCTTCGTCGCTGCGGCTGCGTGTGTGCAGATTGCCGGTGGGATTCATCAGCAGCAGAAGGATGATTATGGAGTCGAAAATACTTTGAACGTTCTTGCGTAAAACTTAGTTTGTTAGTGGTGGTCTTCATTTCGTCTTCTTTGAGTCAGTCCTACTCGTATCTTTTTATCCCAGGGTCGCAAGTGCGGGGGTCAACATGCTGCCTGAATAAGTTCAGTCTAGTCAACGTTGCTGCTTCCAAATTTGTTTGTCATACCGCTTTCAGTGAAAACTAGAGACAGCTCCTAGGTATTTAGTTAATGAGTAAAGCCCTTTTTCTTGCACTAGACTAGGCTGTAGCTGTCAAGGGCGTCCCGACTTTTCTTGTTCCACCACGAACAGAAGTAGGCTTCTACAATAGAAGGGAAGGACATATGACAAAGCGGGCCTTTTTCTTTACCTTCTGATAACTAGTAGATTAGTGTCCTCTCTAAGAACACCAAAACGCTCACGAGGAAGCAAGTGGCAAGCGGATCGATGCTCCACTAGTGGGTAGTGGTTCTAGGAAAGACATTGTGGAGGACAGCGAAGGAAGTAACCTGGTGCCCATTAGAGAAGACAAGGCGGTCGTGGGAGACATGAAAATGGCGGCAGCAAGCACACTGAGAGTAGATAGCACCCATGTAGTTGCAACAGGAGGTGGAGTAGAAGAGGGCACTAAGCCTGTAGTTCCCACAGGAGGTGAAGGAGAGACCAAGCTGGCAGAAGGTGGCACTCATGTAGTTGCAACAGGAGGTGGAATAGAGACCGAGGCGAGCACTCGCACCGCTATAGAAACCGCAAAAAGTTCCACATCTTCTTCGCAAGATATTAGGAAGGCCAAGTCAGAGACCGGTGGTAGAGATGAAGGGCTTGAGGTCAAGAGTGATATGGGTGGCACTCAGTCTCAGCTCCTAGAAGCAAAAGGGGACAGCAGTAACAGCCATCAGGCCATCGAAGAAAAAGGAGACGCGACTACTCATGTCAAGGCTATCTCGGGGGGGGGTTCCGCAAGTAGTACGTCTTCTGTCACAGCTTCTATGCATCACAAGCAGCCCGCGGCAGCTGCAACTTCAGACAGTGGACATCAAATCGAACAAAATAGTGCTTCTTCTACTTCAGAGATCGCGGAGGTAGACGAAGGGGGGGGTCAGGCTGCAGATGGTCATGGAGTGATGGGCGAGAAGAAACTCTCTTCGCCTTCTAGCAATAATGCAGCCGAAGACTCGGAGTATTCGTCTTCTCAGCATAAGGCTACAGTCGGAGGGAGTAGCTCGGCGGCAGAGCACTTAGTAGTAGACAGCGACGCAGCGGGCTCGAGTTTCACTGGCGAAGGAGGGTCTTCTACAGTTCCGGACGTCTTATCCTCTTGCAGAGGAGAAGAAGTACCGCCAGAGAACTTGCGAGCACGAAAACAGCTTACCGAGTTTTTTCAGAATTACAAGAGAATGTCGACCAGGAAGAGTTTCAACATAGAAGATGTAACACACAAGTTGACAAGAGCGCACTTCCAAGGCAAAGACCATGAGGCTCTAGTGACGTGCGTAGGGAACCCCAGAGAATTTGCTTCTGCAGCGTCTGATGATTCAGCACAATCGCCAGATCTATCACAATGCTTTCTTTCTGCATCCAGCGTTTGTCTATTAGGTATCGGTGGCGGCGGCGATGTATGGACACCGAGGGCTGGCGGGCGCGCGGGGCCGAAGCCGCAGTGCGAGGAGGTTGCCGTAAAGCACGTGCGCTTTTCGAAGGGCTCTGATGCCATGAAAGAGTCATGCTATGCTTTGTATGCTTCCTCGGTTGAAAGCTTAAGATTGTACGTGGCTGAGACTCACGAAAGTGTCGAGTTTTCGAAAAAGCCGCGAGTTATGGGTCACGTTATATATCTACATTTAGAGCAACTTCCCACGAATATCAACAACGGAAAGACCCACAAGCATCAGATCCCGATCAAGGACACAAAAGGGAGACCAAGATCATGACAATGACAGCAGCACTAAGACCATCTACATCGTCATTAATAGCTACAGCATCAAGCTCATCACGATCAAAGCCCTAAGGCTTGTAAATTATGACTTGAATATGCTAGACGATGAAGGCCGCGATCTAGCAAGCTTTACCAGCTAAGCGTGAGGGATCTACAAGAAACCACGAACATCTGGAGCCAGTTACTTTGTCTTCTCAGTTTTTTTGTCTACGATAATGATGCGTAGTACTAGGTGCAGGACAGGAGCAACATCGCTGGAGATGGCGACGTGTGTCATCACAATCGTAGCCATTGAGCGGCCTCAGGGCTTATCTAATTTTGGAGGAATGTCTCGCGCGGCAGCGGCACTCGAAGCTATAGGAGTATGATTGGAAGAATTATGTCTACCGAGCCATTCCCAGACTGAGAATCTTTAGGAGCTAGACTCGGCCGCCGGTTTTTGCACACCTGGGATTCTCGGCTTTTGGCGTAAACTTTCGGACTTTGCATAGCCGGGACTTGGGACTTGATGGGCATTCTCCTACTTTCGGCAGCTTCTGCAAATGGGTGCAGCTGAGGAGGCGGAAGCATCGCTCCGCGCTCAATGCGACTCCTTGAGGTATTACTATCAGTGCCTTTTGTTCCCAGTATTTTGATGCGCTTCCACCTTCGAGCCAATTCTGGTGCAATTCGATAAGGGTAACCCTATCCATGAGTCTAGTTTGGTACAGGTTGCGGGTGTCACCATCACAGGAGCAAGGAAACGAATGCAAGGGGCTTCCCCGTTCTAGACCAAACGGACTAGGCTCCGCAAATGCCATAGGCCAAGAGTTTCCGACTTTGGGCGACAGTTCTTGGCGCCATGGCCTGACGCGTTCAGAGGGGGGCGAAGTTGTGCCGCTCAGATCGAGGCGCCGGCGTCTGAAAGTCTTCCAGCGTGCGGCGTCTGGGACTGGTTTGGTTTTGGTATATTTCTGGCGGTTACTTCAATGCGTCAGAAATGAACCCAGGCCGCAACTGTCCTCGAAAAGCGTCAGGCCAGACACCTTGCGGGGGTACTCGCTTCTCTTGGAGCAAGCTCAGCCGTGCACGAAGAACACAGAGGGGGACTCTCGTAGTCGTAGGTCTGGGGCCCTCGCGTTCTTGCGCGGTGCATGTAAACCAAAGAGATTGAGACGAAGAACGCGAAAGACCTAAGGGAGAGCTGGGGCGGTAATCGTGTAAGAGTAGCTGGGGCTGTACCTGTAGCGGTAGCGCTAGCAGTTGGCCACCAAATGAATAGCGTCGACCTCGCTAGATGTCGAGAAGGGAAGGCGAGAAGCCAGGCTAGGACTAAAGACGACCGCGCGCACACTCTCCGACCAACTACACCTATAGGCTTTTTTTTCTCTTTTTAATTTAGGAGCCTGCTGATTTTTAGTAGTCTATTACCAGGTGACTAGTAGGCGACTACTAGGTGACTACTAGGCGACTGCTAGGTAAGTAGTAAGTTAGTTAGTAGGCGAATCGTGGCTCATTGGTAGGTGATTAGTGGGCAAGCAGTATTTTCATGAAAATTCTCGGTTTTTTGTTGTAGTCGGTTATTCATCGGTTAGGACGTTCTTACAATTGGTTACTCATCAGTGGGGACGTTATCGCAGCTGGATATTACTATTTATAGTATTAGCAATTGCGTTCGCGTTGGTGTTGGACCATTCGAACACAGACTGTAAAGCCGCGCGTAGTTTCTCACTGAGAAACGCTTGAGCTCGATACAGATTGCACTTACAGCCTGAGACAGAGACTAATGATCTCTGGCTGCTTTGATCCCTGTGGATGTTCGTTGGGGTTGCAAGGGGAGGAAGTCTCAGCTTCTTCGTTGGGATACCATGATGGGGAAGCTCTCATATGCTTCATATGGGAGCGCCTATGCTATCATCATTGACTCATACGATTATCCTACATCGATTCCCATCATTGACCAGAACTGACAAAACGTTATGAACCTGATTACAGCTATGAGCATTCGTTTTCTCTGCTATCTGAGTACGTTGGTGGTCCTTTGACTGTTGATCGTTGATTTTGGAACCATATGCGTTTAGGTCTGTAGGTTATCTTGGAGGCCTTTCCGGTGTTGCTTTGTCCTTGACTGTGTTGAGAGACTTGAAACGACAAACGAGAGAGAGAGGAGAAACCGCCGACACCCGCGCCAACTAAGGCCAACGCGTTGAGAGTGGTGCCGGTGGGTACCTTGTTCGCCTGGCGATCTTGGTCATTTCGTTGATCTTCATCCTTCTGATCTTGGTGGATCTTTGTGATATTTCAAGGATTTACGACCATGACCAAAACCATCGCTGCGTGTCGAAGTCCCTAGTCTCTGGACTCAAAGGGAGTGTAGAGCCAAGTCTCCTCCACTAGAGTTCTGCCGTGTTCTTGCAGGTGTGCTAACGACTTAAAGAGAGTAGACAAGTGCTGCAGGTGAGTCTTTTCTGTTCTGGCTTGTAGGTTTTCCTGGGTGCTCGGTGGCGTGTCAAGCTAGTTGCTAGTCGTCGGACTCTTCTTCTTTCGGTAGTTGCTCTCTGGTTACTATGGTTGCATGTTAGTGCCTGGTGTGAGCCTCTGAAGAGGTGTGTGAGTAGTGCCCCTTCCCTTAAAAAGTGGCTCTCCCTGGAAAACGGTCTCTGTGTCTGCTACTAGTGAAGAAGAACCCCTGTAGAAAACGAGCTGGGAGCACTAGAAAACGGGCTGGAAGTACTCACGCTGTAGGTGTCGCGCTGGATGCTTTTCTGGTGGCAGTGGAGGCGGTCTGGACTACTTAGTGGGGTGCGAGTAAGGGGGTAAGTGAGAAGCTAAGTCGTCGCGTGTGCTCCATGGTGGTTAAGGCTTTTAACCTGGTGTGCTACTTGGTGGCTGTGGTGGCCTCTAGTTCCTGTCGCTACTCTTGTGGGAAAGGGCTTGCTATTCCTGAGCTTCAGGCAGTTCTTTCTGCTTGGTTCTGGGGCTAGTAGTCAATGTTAAGTGAACAGGAAAGTGCGTGTGTACTTTTCTGAAGGGTGTGCACTCAGACTGTCCCTTTCTGGTGGGAAGTGTTTTAAAGTAAAGGGTAGAAAGAAAGCAGGCGGTGGCAGCCTGGGTCTTTAAGGTGAAAAAGTTAGTTAAGCCTGGCGACGAACTACCGATAGCGCGATGGTGCCTTCTGGCATGGTTGCTGCTTTCGGTGGGAAGTTTTTGTGTTGGTGGAAGGCGTCTAGCGCGGTCTGAGCTGCTGCTTTTCGGCTCTTGGGTAAATGGCACTACTGCTGAATATCAGGCAGTGCCACGACCCTCTGGTCGTGGTTTCTCTTCTCTTATAGCGAAAGTTCTGGCCTCACTACTGCTGAGTAACAGGCAGTGCCTTGATCTTCGGGCCTTGGCTGTTGGCGAAAAAGGTTTGGCACTACTGCTGAGTATCAGGCAGCTCCCCTGAAGCCCTATGTCATAGTAAGCACCTGACTCCCTACGGGTGGACGGGATGCGACATTTGGTCTCGTAGGTTTCGCTTTGGTCGCACAGCTTCGGTAGTGCCCTATAGTATGACCTCTTGACTGCAGTGGTGGACTTTATCCCTAGTCTCTGGACTACCACGGAAGTCATATCCCCTAACTGTTCGTCTATGGCTACGGTGTACTTGTCTAGAAACCAAAGTAAACCAGTATTGAACTAGCTGGCCACTTCTCCGGGGCGAGCACAGGACGGGCCGGGCCCTTCCTCTGGGTCGCCGTGTCTTACCTCGTATCCAGGCCTTGCCCGGCGGCTTCACAGCATGGATGCCGTTCCTCGGCTCTCCCAGTGGCGGGCGTGTCGAATTCTGACATCAGTCGGATTCGAACCCTGCGTCATTCAGATCCGGAGAAACTGAACCGAGACACTTAGCCACTAGGTGAAATGGCTACGCTTTTTGTAAGTTAAATCATTATAGTTGACTTCGTTTATCGGGTTATCTATATGGAGAAGTAGTAGTCTACGTTGAGACGAGCTACGTTCTAGCTTAGTTAAGCCATCAAGTTGGGCGGGAAACTATCTCACTCGCCGCGTCACGCACTCGCAAGTAGTGAAGTGTATGATGGCGACTCTTCGGGCGTGTGTCAATTGCTTTAGCTGTTGCGATCTCGGATTGGTTGTCGATCCAGAGCACAGCATTGTCTAAAGAGGGAGACAGGCCGTTCTGTGTGTGCACCAACTGAGTTGGTAGAGGCTTAGAGAAGTCTGTAAAGTCATGCAGTCCACTAAGGCTAAGCGCAAGCGTCTCAGAAGCTGCAATATATTCACTTTCAGCCGTAGAATAGGCACGGACAGCTTGCCGATTACTTCTCCAAGCGATTGAAACGCCTCTGAAATACATGATCGATCCACTTGTGCTTCTCATATTCTTTACGCAGGTGGCGAAGCCTGCATCACTAAAGATATGCACCTCTGGCCTATCTCTGCCTTCAGGTGCTAACTTTGAATAGATCTCATCTTGTTGAGTTCTTCTTCTTGTTCTGGTGAGTATTCCAGTCCTTGTTCTCTCGTTGTCACCAGATACTTCAGCACTTTTCTGGCTGCTTTAACCATTCTTGTTGACGTGGGTTGGCTGACATGTCTAGCCAACGCCGCCACCGGTACAGAGATGTCCGGGCGCGCGGTCACAGCTACCCATAGCAAGGCACCAACTACCCCACGAAAGGGATACCCGTCGACTATCTTGATCCCCTCCTCAAGAAAAGCCGACTCGTCAAAATTGGGCGAGTAAACCGGGCTCCCGACTTGGGTTTCGTATTTCTTTGCAATTTTATCAGTGTACTCTTCCACGTTGAGTCGAAACGTTCGAGCTTCACGGCAGTAGTACACGATGGCACATAAGAAGTCGAACCTTAGCCACGCTTGACCCCAAGGGGTTGGAACGGACTCCACATCAATCGCACGGCCAGGGGCACGCGAAAAGATGGGTCTTAGTTCAGTCTTGAGCCCATCGAGATCAGGACCCGTTGCAAGATTGTCATCGGCATAGACTGACACCTTGAGGAACTTCCCAGGTACTTTCGCGCTCGGCTTTCTCCATAAGCCTGGAGCAGAATCACACGGCTCCCAGCCAATATTGGCTAGCATGTCGTGATATTTCTTGAACCATGCTCGTGGCGCGTCTTTCAGGCCGTATAGGGCCTCCTTGGGCTTCACGGTCTCGCGTCCATGCTTCTCTGCCCAGATGGGTGGGAGACGACAGAAGACATCGCGATCGAGTTCAGCACTGAGGAACGCAGAATCTAAATCGAACGGGATCGCATAGTCCTGCTCTGACGCAGCAGAAGTCAGGGGCAACCTATTAGCGGCGTGGGAAACTACGGGAGCAAAGGTGTTTGGCTCTTCTGATCGATCTAGATTACCGAGGACACAAGCGCGAGCCTAGTATCTTCCACATCTTTTGATAGTTAGAATTATGGCAATTCGCCACATTGCCTCGCGTCTGGGAGTTGGATGGTCGAGCGCCCGCGCTCCCTCTTGAACTTCCTGATCCGGATTCTCCATCTCCAGTCGACATTCAGGGCGCACCTTAAACGGGACCCCGACTCGGGGCATCTGCAGACTAAGAGGCTGCCTAAGGGATTTAAAACGCTTATCGGCACGTATCGAGTTGGGCCCGACTCTCTTCCAGAGGACGAAGTGCTGCTTCCGGATGATGCGGCTGCCAGCCCGGAAGAGGTGCAGCAAGGTGATACTTCTCCACATGGATCCGAAGCTGATGGAGTTTTCGGAGACCAGGATGAGGCATTTGCAGGGGATGTCGAGGACGATTTGTTTGCAGACTTTGCGCTCACCGCACGTCTGAAGAAGAGTATGCGTCTAAACTCGTTTAGACGGTGTTCATTTTTGGAGACAAGAAAGACCTCCACACCATCTTAGCGACTTATTGAAGTGCATCATCTTGAGTAAGTAGTTATGGGCCCGGAGTGAGAAGACCCATAAAGCTCCATAAATTATTTGGTTATAAGGCTTCGCGCTTTGATAGTATTCGTTATTAGTGCATGTGAGAGCACATTTATTGAAAGCTGGCTGGTCGGTTTCCTTTTCGCGTCTTAAGAGCGCATTTCTCGTTTCGCGAGAGTGGTCTTGCGACCATCGTCTCTTTTCATTCCTTGTCTGGAATTGTCTCGATGCATTCTTTGACGGGCCATCACCTTTGTGAGGGTGGCGGTTTTGTTGTTTTGTCTTTAGGCATTCCCTTCCAGCCACACTCCGAGTGCCAGCAAGGGATGGCCCTTTTTTCGTTCGTACTGTGAGGTCTCCTTAGGCTTAGCGCGTTGGCGAGCTAAGCCACGGTGACACTGTTCTTTCTCTAGACGTTGTCAGCAGCATGGCATAGGGTCTCCTCGTTCTGGGTGGTGTCGCGTCGGGCTGTGCCAGCGTGGCCGTGCCCATATTTATGCCGCATTGATTATGATCTGTTCTCCCTCCCATCGGCGGGATGGCTCTTCGGATCTGAGTACTCTTCGAGTACACGACTGGCGTGGTCCTTCGTCGCTGACAACACAGCAATAGACATCATAGTGCGCCTTGAGTGTCACTCTCTTCCACCTTGAAACTTAGCCTACACTTGGCGCAAAAAATGAATATGCGTCTAAACTCGTTTAGACGGTGTTCATTTTTGGAGACAAGAAAGGCCCCCGCATCATCTTAGCGACTTATTGAAGTGCATCATCTTGAGTAAGTAGTCATGGGCCCGGAGTGAGAAGACCCATAAAGCTCCATAAATTATTTGGTTATAAGCCTTTGTGTTGGACCATTCGAACACAGACTGTTAAGTCGCGTCTAGTTTCTCGGTGAGAAACGCTTGAGAGTGATACTGTTTGCACAATTTGCACTCACAGCCTGAGACTAATGATCTCTGGCTGCTTTGATCCCTGTGGATATTCATTGGGGTTGCAAGGAGGAAGTCTCAGCTTCATCATTGGGATACCATGTTGCATGGGGAAGCTTTCATATGCTTCATACGGAAACGCTTATGCTATCATCATTGATTCATACGATCATCCTACTTTGATTCTCATCATTGATCAGAACTTGACAAGACGTTATGGACCTGATTACAGCTATGAAACATTCATCATTTCTTCTATCTGAATACGTTGAGGGTCCTTTGCCTGTTGATCATTGATTTTGGAACTATATGCATTTAGGTCTGTAGGTTATCTTTGAGATCATTCCGGTGTTGTTTTGTCCTTGACTGTATTGGGAGGCTTGAGCCACAAACGAGAGAGAGAGGAGAAACCGCCGACACCCGCGCCAACTAAGGCCAACGCGTTGAAAGTGGTGCCGGTGGGTACCTTGTTCGCCTGGTGATCTTGGTCATTTTGGTGATCTTCATGCGTCTGATGTTTGTGACATTTCATGACTGTGACCTTGACCAACACTTTGTGCTTTAATAGTATTCATTATTAGTGCATGTGAAAGAACACAGTGCGGGATAAGGACTTCAAAAGATTTTGGGACTTTCATTAAAAACCGACCATCCATCCCCTACGCACCGCCAGATCATAGCGAGGCTCTTTGGTCGAGACTACGGCCAAGATCGCCCTCCATTGGTCGGCAGGAGTGTAGGAGTAGTCTCTTACTGCGCAGAAAAGTGAAGTGTTTACTTTTCTTTTCTTTCGTGTTCTTCGGAGCAAATTTAAGCGTGGCAAATGCATCCAAGTCATGCGAGACGTTTTTTTTTTTAAGAGAGAGTCGCGCAGTTCCTGTTGTGCGAGTGCAAGCTCGGTTTTCTAGTGAGCGCAGTGCGAGCGGCTACTTCTACGCTACCGCCCAGTGGAGGACCTGTTGTGTATTACTGATCGCGTAGCATTTCGGTAAAATTGCGAAGTGCATCTTTGGGAGCCCCATACCCCGAAAAATCTTGGATAGCTAAAAGCTGGGTTGTGTTATTACAAAAATGCGGAAAATTGAATGAGACAAGTCGTTTATTGTTGTCGAAGGATAGCCATGTAAAGTGGTGTGAAGACTCTGATGAGTATAGGACTTACAGGCGGCATTAGGAAGGTTGTTGACCGGAGAAGATGGCAGAAAGATACTCTAAGAAGCTCATAAGATCAACTGCGGCTGACGCAGTAGGTTACTTAGGCCGCATTGCGGAAGACCTTCAAAGTGGAGCAATGAGAGAGTCGCATCAGGTCGCTGAGGATATAAGCCTCGACCTCATCGCGTCAGGGTATCCGACGGAGTCTTCCTTAACGGATGGCGAGAAGCTCTTAGATGAGCTGGCACCGTGGTCATTCGTACCGGCTAGGAACGAGGGCGACTCCGCTTTCTTCCCGCGGACAGGAACAAAAGTAGTGGGCTTGAAGATTATATATCGTTACTGCGGGAACTAAGTAGAAGGTTCTACACTGAAGACGAGTGTGCGTGGGAAATAGTTTTGTTTGGGGGTGCCACTCATGGGCCTATAAGGTGCCCTCCAGGTTGGGAAAATAGAAGCTACAAGTGTGACGATGATCACCGGGACAAAATTGAAAAAAGGCGCAAAGTTAGTTCTTTTCTGAAGGCAAAGAAGCCGAAAGTGGAGGAGGAAGCATGGCCGCTAATTTGGGACGTTGCCCAGAAGGATGTAGAAAGAGGGTTGCTGGAGCCTTTTATCGAAATTAAGGACGTTCCTAGTGCCGTGCGTTTTCTCATACCTAGACTCGCAATTTTCCAGAAGACCAAATGCCGCATGATCGATGTTGACGCGAGGACTTTTAATTTCTCAGCTTCTTTAACTAACAAAAAAGACGCCACTACCTTCCCCCCTTGAGGCACTGGCGACCGCCACGGCGGTAGCCAGAATTTCAGCCGACCCCTCATTGTCGGCATCAAGTATTTCCAATTTTGTTTCTAATCCCAGAAAGCGCAAGAGCGCCTATTCTTTTAGTAAGCCGTTGACACTTACGGACTCTTTTAGTGCGGCAGTGTTTGAACGTTATGCAGGTCCAGACTTAGGGATCGAGATGGTTAAGGACACAGCTAGCCTGGTCGACGGGATAGCTGTGGATATAGAGGGTGCATACAAGACAATCGGCATAGCCGATGGCCATCAGGATCAGAATTATGTGGCTATTTGGTCTCCTAGTTGTGAGCGGTTTGTTGCGGCGCGGGCTAATAGTCTCTTATTCGGGAGTACCCGCAGCGTTGTGTGTTGGGTCAGGGTGGCGCTCCTGCTTAAATTCATCATGATTCGGCTCTTTAGGGTGCCTATGAGCGTGCTTATTGATGGTTTCCATTCTTTTGCCAAGTCGGGGCTTGGCGAGAGAGTTTTGCCTTGCATTTGTAAACTGTTGACTGTTTTAGGTTGGGGCTTTAAGTTAGAAAAATTGGAGTGCTCAGGGGTGCAGATTCTACTCTTAGGCTTGCTTTTCAACTTGGAAGCGAAGCCATCGGTCAGCATCGCCCCCGAGCGAGCGGATGCCTATAGAAGCTTAATCAGGAAGCGGCTTGATGATGGGACCTTGTCCCAAAATCAAGCCGCCGAGATTTACGGTAAGCTTAGTTTTGCGTTCTGCGCGTTGGTTGTGCGACCGTAGACTCCATCCGTTGCTTCGTCCGTTAGTCGGGCGTATGTACGACTTCCATGGGAATAGCGAGATGACGAAGTCACTGGCCGAGTGCCTTAGGATTTGTTATGAAATTCTCCCGCGCGTGCCGCCTCGGTCGTTGTTTGCTTCTAAGTTCAGACTTCTAGTGTATACAGATGCCTCGTGGCAGCGGGGTAGGGCGGGGCATCTTGCGGGTGTGTTGGTGGACCTTTTTAACGTCACCAACCACCAAGATCCTAAAGGACTGGGCGTTTTAAAGTTTTGGAGACTGAAAGTTTGTAAAGAACAATTGCATAGCTCGTTTTGTCGTTTTCCGATTAACGTTCTTGAGGCTGTTGCCCCGCTTATTTCTATGTTTGTTTGGTGTGATTTATTCAAGAACGCAAGGGTAGAAGTTTTGACTGATAACAATAGTGCAAAGGGTTGTTTAGTGAGGATGAACAGTGGGAAAATGCATATGAGTACTATGGCTTTTGAATTTTGGCGCTTTTGTTCACTACATAACATTAGTCCACTTCTTGACGGAGTTCCGTCGGAGGAGAATATCAGTGATCTACCAACTAAGGACCACCTTTTCGATTTTTTTGTACATTTTTTTTGCACAGAAGAGGTTAAAAATACAGGGGAGCTACTAGATAAGGTTAGTAAGGTGCTTAAGCTTGTGGCGCAGTGGAGTGATGTTTTCATGGATGATAGCGATTGCAAATTGAAAGAAAATGGCGAGTGAGTCGCGTGTAGTAGTTTGATCCCCTTAGTAGTGCGTAGCTTTTGAACGACGCGAGCATTTGGAATAGTGAGTGTAACCTTTGAGTTTTGGGCCTTCATGGTATGGCTTTTTTTGATGACCATCTTCATGATTTTGCTAGCGAAGAAGCATTCGTGGAGAGCTTTCTCAGGATTGCAAGTGAGTGGTTCCCTGCAGGAAAAGGAGTAGTGGATTGTTAAAATCGCGAATGTCGCGATAGTGAGTTGCTGTAAGTGAGTCAATTGCATCACTAGAAAAGGAATAAGAGTGAGAAAATAGATGCAAGATTAGTCGAGTGGTAGTGAGACTGAGAGAGAGTTTGTTGGGAAGGATGCCTTGAGTAGTTTGTCGCCACCGTTGGCGCTTGAGTGCATAAGATGGCGGGCCACGATTTAGAAGCAGCCTTTGCGACGATGGTCGCGGGCGGCTAGCAATGCTGATCGACCAGATCAGCGCAAAGCGAACTTGGTGAAGCAGTCTTGCCAGACTGCTTTTGGTGTTGCCATTGCGGCAACTTCGGAGGCAGAGACTAAAGCTGTGGAGAAGGCGCGTATGAGCGGGCCCCTTCGTCGTTTTTCTTATTTTCTTAAAAATTATAAAATCTCGCTTCTCTGTTCCATCCATGTATCCCTGTCTCTTCACTTTCGGGCTGTTAGGACTTAGATCAAAGACGACGAAACTAAAGCTGTAGCAGCTCAGTAGTAGCTTTGAGGGTTTTGGTATAGTTACGTAATTTATGCGCAAAAATAAAGGTGCTTGCGCGAGCGCTTTTTCTCCGGATCCGCTGAAAATATCACAACTATGGCACTTCGTGGCGCAGTGATCGTGCGCTTGTTGGGCGCGTACATTCCGCCGGCTATTGAGCAGCGTGACGAGGAAGGTAGCGTGTTGGTGGCTGCTCAGCCCGCAGTAATCGACGCTGAAGGAGTTCAAGAAGCAAATCGCTTAAGTTCTGACTTGTTGCAGGTGCTTTTTAAAAGTTGCTTGATGACCGAGATGATTTGACGTGGGTACTTAGCATTGATTGGTCGTGCTTCAAATTTGTGCATAAGGGAAAGCTCTCTTTTTAAGAAGTGTAGGATTGATAAGTGAGAAGCAGACTTAGTGTGCATGTTGCAAAATCATATACTACATTTTAGGTTTTCGGGAAGCCGGAATTCGTCCGCGAAGCCACCCCGCAGATGGTGAAGACTGCGGCTGGACAGGTGTACAAGGGCAAGATGTCTAGAGTAGCAGGGGTTATGCCGATCGCCGGTCGCAATTATTACGAGCGGACTCATGCGTTTTATCAGATCGATGACGCTTGGGGACGCCCTGGAAACACAGTCGGACTCGTAAGCTTTAAAGAAGTAAGCTTGCATCTTTTTCGATTTAGAAAGTTTAGATTTTCAAACTTTAAGTGTATGTGTGTGTTTGACGATATTAAGGAGCTCCTCTCTTAAAAAGTTAGGAAAAAAAGAACTGGCTGTCGTGCTAGTTCTTAGTCGAGTTTTCTTATTAAACAAAATTACAGCGTGAAAACTGCTAGCGATCGAGCAGAATTGAAGGCAAGTAAGGCGGAGGTTGAGAAGCTTAGGAACGGGATGCGTTTCAACACCCCGATCAAGTACGTCTCGCCTAACAAATTCATCAACAAGCCGTCTCCGTATGGTGGTAACCAAGGAGGCGGGAAAGGTAGCCAGGTTCCTGGTAAGCGCTGGCGCTTTCCGTGGCTGAACGCGTCTGAGCGTGGGGAGACCTGTGGAAAGGTCGGGCGCCCTTTCGTGCACGCACTACCTACGACACGTACGGAGGCAGAACAGCTCAAAGCCTTTGCGGCTCGAGCTTTGACGACGTGGAATCTAGACCGCGACTATGGTGCGGGCCAGGCGAGCACGAGTGTCACGCCAGCAGTAGGAGCTGGCGTGGCTGCGGCTGCTCCATCGAGTACAGCTACGAGTAGTAGCGTCGTTTCTGAGAACGCTTAGAGGAGAGGAGTTGTCGAGTGATAATGTTGTAAGTCGACACTTATCAAGAGTAAGGGGCATGAAGTTCGGCATAATATTCGTGAGTAAAGTACGAATGTCGAAGTGTTGAGTAGCGAGGAGCTTGCTTTTGGTGAAAGCTAGACTATCGTGATGAAAAAGCTTTGCTTTTGGAGTCAGTAGAGAGGTAGTGCTAAGACTTTCGATTCGTATCCCTTGTCGTCACTAGACTGGAATTAGGTAGAAGTGGCGAGAATCGACTCGAGTTCGAGCATCTAGGTGATCGATAGTGAACGTATTGGCACTCGTTTGCTTGTGGATTGTCTAGCTTGGGAGAGTTGGAGTGTAGATGAATCACTTAGCTTCAAGACTACGATAGTATTACTTGGCAAGTGACTTAAATCCGTTCTAAGCATTAAAGTAGGAGATCTTCGCTCATGCTCTCAAAGAAGGGGGTATGAGTGTGTTGTTGAGCGATACAAATATCATCACTAGCACAGTTTCCATGGAAGAAGTAACTTTTAAAATTTCTTTTATAAGCATTATTTTTGAACGAATTTACATACGTTAGCTTTTTGACACCAGCTGGATCGTCTAGAGTAAGCATTTTTGTAGATTTAGTTTCCATTTTGGCTTCATGTTACACACATCGCCCACATTTTCTTATAAGTAAAAATCTGAAATATGGATCAACTAGTAGCTGTTCTCTCGACCCACAAGGTGACAGATAAAGGCGCTACGTCGTCTACATCGTCTTCCTCTGCTTCGGCAGCTTCATCTAGCACAACACTCCCGGACTTATCCGCGTCGCGCCTCTTGAAGAGGCAGCTCAGACCCGTGATAATAAGAAACAAAGGTGGAGCTTCAACATTGAAGAGAATCAAGGTGGAGACTTTACCGAAGAGTAACAAGCTGCTGGATGAGGAAGAAGCGAAGAAAGAGGGTCTCCCCTCCATCGAGGCCAGTGCTGCGGACCCTACTAACATGAACATCTCGCAAATAGTGATAGCCTTGCGGAGTATGGTGAGAGCTAGGAGCGCGCCTGGCCTGGTGTTTGAAGATTCGGCCAGGACCAAGATAGCCAAGCTTCAGAAAGCTGGCCCTTACGCCGCGAGGTTGGCGGTGAGCAAGAATATGATGAACCTCAGAGGGGAATCGGTCCGCGATTCTACGTGGGACTCTTATCTTTCGCACTTTTTTAGCTACTGTCTGTTTTGCGATAGCTTGTCAACTAAGCCGCTTCCGTATACCAAGAGCAAGATAGAAGGGCTCTTAGGATTGAATAGGAACGGCTCTTCGGCTAATACTGCGAGGGCTGTTATCAGGAAGGTAGGGCTTATGTTCGATATGAAGGTGCCCGACTCTGCTCATATTCTCACTATAGCGCGTGGAATTAGGGCGAAGCAACTTCCTCGCCGTAGAAGGGGCCCAGTCTCTCCGGCGTTCTTAAATAAATTACTATCTGACTCCTCGGTCGAGGATGGTGCCAGGCTTCTTTTTGTGGTGTCTTGGATTTTTCTTTTAAGGCTCCAGAGCGAGGGTTTGCCTTTGTTAAAAGGAACCACTAGCAGTGTAAAAGACTTAAAGAAGTCTTTGAAGGTGCATTCTGCGGCGTGGGCGGATCACGATACTAAAGAGGTGACAATCCGGCTTAAGACACGGAATAATAAGAAAGTTGAAGGTGATTGCATAATAAGGGGGTGCACGTGTCAAGGTCGCCCCAGTAGAGCAGTTTGCTCCTCGCGCGACAAGCCTAAGAGTAACGCTGCTAATGCCTTTTGGGCAATGGATGGCTGTCCCTATTGTGTATTCTACAAGAAGTTCGTCGAACCGTTGAAGGAAGGCGACCGAGAACGTTTCTAAGTTTATTACTTATCGGGAGGCTCTTACGGGTGTTGTTGAGGCTGCTGCCCGCTGCGGCGAGGACGGCGATTTCGGCGCCCAGTCGTTTAGACGGGGGGGCGCTAGTACTATAGCCCTTATGGGAGGCTCTCATGGTGAATTATTAGCCGCTGGCCGCTGGGCCGCTGATAGTGAATCTTGGAGGCGTTACATTTGTGAAGAGAGGTTCGAAGTAGAGGCGCTTAAGAAAGTTGCTAATAGTTTGGATTTGTTCGCTGAGTCAGAAGGCGACGATAGTGGCGCTGAGAAAGTATTGCAGGTCGGTGAGTACTCTGCTGATGAAGAGGCTGAATAGTTCGCATAGTTCTACAATTTAATGTCATTCCTTTTGCACATATGTACAGAATAGTAGCGCGCATAAAGGTTCTGAAGTAGTGAAGGCGGTTGTTATGCCGCAATCTTAATAGCTGAGCTCAAGTTATAACTTTTGTCTATGGTAGATTTGGGAGGATTTCCCGTTTGTTCGTGAGCAATGAGATGCGTTTTATTGTCTTAAGCAGTTTTAGGCCACCTTTTAATACTAAGTAAGTGCGTTTGTTACTTTATGTGAGCTCCTTAAGGTGGTTCCGCGAGTCAGTAGGTTCCTGCGCTTACGCTTGTTGAGTGTTGGCTCCACTATGCGGGTAATTGAGAGCGTGACCGTGTAAGATATTGAAGTGCGTGCGTTGTATTCGTCTTGGCACGCTGTGACGATGAGACCCATTCCGACTCTGTCGCGAGAGAAGGATCTTGATGTTAGTGATGGTGTGTGTCGCATTGGTTATGATCTGTTCTCCCTCCCATCGGCGGGATGGCTCTTCGGATCTGAGTACTCTTCGAATACACGACTGGCGCGGTCCTTCGTCGCTGACAGCACAGCAATAGACGTCATAGTGTGCCTTGAGTATCACTCTCTTCCACCTTGAAACTTAGCCTACAGTTGACGCAAAAAATGAAAGGGAAAGACCTCGAGGACCCTCAGGAGGAGGAGGCTGCGCTGCTTCCTATCAACTGGCGCGAGTTCGTTCTCCGCGCCTCGCTAGCTCTTGCTCGCAGCCCATTGCCTTCTCTTGATGGCGCATCTACGCTGGAGCGCCATACTGGTTCCAACTTCATCACGGCGAAAGAGGAGGCTTTGAGTCGTCGCCGTCGCAGACACTTGAGGGCGAGGCCCTGCTTGGCTTTGGTTTGCTTGGCTTTGGTTTGCTTGGCTTTGGTTTGTTTGGCTTTGGTTTGTTTGGCTCTGGTTTGCTTGGCTCTGGTTTGGCTTTGCGCTTTGCTTGCGCTGCATGCCTTTGCGCTTCCCTTGCTGTGGCCTAGCGCTCAGGCTAGCTCTCGCACTAGCTGCGCTGCTGCTGTGGCTGTTGCTGTTGTTGTTCTCTTCTGAGTCTGCTGCTCAGGCCACGCCTCGCCAGGCCAGGCGTCAGCCCTCGGACTCAGCCTCGCGTCTGCCTCTGCGTCTGCTCTACCTCTAGCCTACGCGCCACTTCGCGGCCGCCTGGCCTCGCGACCAACATCCCAACCCACGCCACCCCACGCAATCCGGCCCCATGCCGTTCCACGAGCCTGGGCCGGGTCTGAGAAGAGAGACTGGCCGCACCTCACGAGAGGAGACGGAGAGGGAGACAGAGACAGACGAGACTGAGACAGAGACCAGACCAGAAGACGAAGAGCCGAGCACCATACGAGAGGAGACGACCTGACGCACGCGCGACTGGCGCCGGCCAATATGAGACCGGTGCCACATCCACCGCCCACCTTGTGGCTGCCTTTATTGGAGGCTAGGCGCAGCCAGCTTAATTTGACTAACATAAGAGACAAGGCCAAGCGCGCCGACCTTGGCCTTGCCCTTGCCTTCCCTAAGGCTACGCCTTCGTTCCCTTACGTACCCCCAGGCCAGGCCCCTGCCTAGAACAGAGGGCAGCCCCGTAGCCGCCCAGCGCTCAGCCCTGCTTAAGTCAACTACGTCCTCCCTGATGCTCTGCGCTTCTCCTAAAAAAGTCGCCAGACTCTGAGCCAGAAGGCAGCCCCCTGGCAGCCCACTGCCCTGCATAAGTCGAACCCGTTCCCGCTTAATGTGTTGCCTTTTTTCTGAAGAATAGAAAGCCGCCGACTTTTTTTCTTGAAACTTTTTGCAAGTTCAGGGCTTCGGGCTGTTTCAGATTTTCGCGATTTTTTGAAAAAAGTGACGAAAAAAAGCCTACACGCCCGACACGGTGCGCCGAACCCTTGCCCAGCAGCTGGAAACTTGGGCGGAGGCAAAAGCCAGCTTGGTCAAAAGTTCGCGCCTTTTGTTTCTCCTTGCCTGACTTACTGAGTGACGTTTTGGCGGTCCCGCTTTTCACGAGTTAAGTAACTTTTTGGCGCGCCGACTCTCCAACTTTCAAAGAGGGCAGCCCCGTAGCCGCCCAAGGCTCTGCCCAAATCAGCTATGTCCTTCCTAGTGCTCTGCGTTTCCCCTGAAAAAGCTGCCAGATTCTGAGCCAGAAGGCAACCCTGTGACAGCCCACTGCTCTGCATAAGTCGAACCCGTCCACGCCTAATGTGTTGCCTTTTTTCTCAAAAGAGCCGCCGTTTGTTTTTCTTTGCTACTTTTTGCAAGTCCAGGGCTTCGGGCTGTTTCAGATTTTCGCGATTTTTTGAAAAAAGTCGCGAAAAAAGTTGACACGCCTGACACGGTGCGCCGAACACTTGCCCAGAAGCTGGAAACTAGAGCGACGACAAAAACGAGCCGGGACAGGAGTCGGCTTTTTTTGTTTCTTCTTGCCTGACTTGCGGAAATTTTGGCGGTCCCGCTTTTCATGGGTTAACTTGTTGGCGCGCTGGCTCTCCATTTTTCAGCTTTTCTAAATTTCAGAAAAAACACACACAAAAAAACCATATCCGCGCGGGATTATGTCCGCAAGTGGATCACTTTTTAACCATTTTTGGCCCCATTAACTCGCGACCCCCAAAGAGTTAATTTTTTGAAAGAAAACTCACTAACCCGCGAAAAAAATGAGCAAAAAGTCAGCAATTTTTTGAAGGCTCCCCAGGGTAAGCATCCACTTGGAAGACCTGCCAAAAAATGACGCCAAAAACATCAGGAGTCCTTTTCGAGTTAAGAGACGCTCGCACGCGGCGCCATGGCTCGGAGACAAAAACTCGCGACCTGTGTCCGGAATCTAGTGCGGGCGCGCGTTTTTTTTGCATCTTTTTCCCAAAATCGAAAGGAGCGAAAAAGTGGAACAATGGAGGGCCAAGAAGGTAACTCGTGAAAAGCGGGACCTCCAAAATGTCAGCAATTCGGGCAGAAAGAAACAAAAAGCGCGAACTTTTGACAAAGCTGGCCTTCGCTTCCGCCTGAGTTTCCAGCTGCGGGGCAAGGGTTCGGCGCACCGTGTCGGGCGTGTAAACATTTTCCGTCTTTTTTTCAAAAAATCGCGAAAATCTGAAACGGCTTGAGGCTCTGAACTTGCAAAAAGCTGCAAAGAAGAACACTGGCGGGCCTCCTTCGGAAAAATTGGAACAATAGGGGACCAAAGAGCTAACCTGTGAAAAGCGGGGCCCCTAAAATGCCAGCAAGTCGGGCAGGAAGAGACCAAAGGCGTGAACTTTTGGCCAGAGTGGTGCTGGCTTTCGCCCCAGGTTCCAGCTGCTGGGTAAGGGTTCGGCGCACCGTGTCGGGCGTGTGGGCTTTTTCTCTTTACTTTTTTCAAAAAATCGCGAAAATGTGAAACGGCCCGAAGCTCTGAACTTGCAAAAAGTTGCAAAAAAAACAATAGGCGGCCTTTTTCGAAAAAAAGGCAACGCATTAGGCGGGGAAGCTCGTGGCTTTGCAAAAAGTGCAAAGGTCTGCAACCTGTCGGGCAAGAAGAACGAAAGAGAGCGAACCGGCGTCCAGGCTGGCTTTGGTTTCAGCCTTAGCTTCCAGCCGTCGGCAAAAAGCTCGGCGCACCGTGTCGGGCTTGTAGGCTTTTCCCTGCGACTCTTTTCGCGTCTTTCTTTCAAAACTTCGGGGAGGACTTTTCGGAACCGGGCAGACCATCGGGGGGAACGGGTTGGCCTCCTTTGTTTTCTCACCTCGAGCCGGGCCAGCTCAGGCGTCGCAAGCTAGACAGAGACCTGGCCAGAGCAGAGCAGACACCAAGACAAACAGCAGAACTGACACAGATCAGACAGCGAGCAAGACAGACTAGACGCCGGCCGTGGCGTGACAGCTGAGCAGACAGAGCAGACGCAGAGCCGACAGCGGGAGCAGTCCAGTGGCCTCTTGTGTTGGAATTGTGCAGCGCTGACACGGCTTGGGCTGCGCCTGGGCCTGGGCTCTG